CTCCCCAGCTTTCGAATAGGTGGCCGCCGGCTCTCCTGAAAGCACTGGGTCCCCCGGTCCGGCAGCCCCTGTTTTGGGCATCCCCTTGGGCCCAGCACTCCCTGTTCCTGGGGAGCGCGTGTCCTTCTCTGCCAGGAACCGAGGCTCCTCTGTCATGGAGGACAGAGTTTCTGCATTTCCTGTGTGTGCAGGATCTGCCGGTCCCAGGGGCGCAGGATGCGTCTTCTCCAGGGCTCCTGCAGCCGCTGTCCCAGAAGACACAGACTCAGTTCCGCCCGGCGACACTGGACTTGGCTTTCCTGAGGGCCCAGGAGCTGACTTTTCTGTGGATGCGGGATCCGGGCTCCCCAGCGAGGCGGGCGCCACCCGTCCCGAGGCCACCAAGTCTGCTTCTCCCACGGGCTTGGGATCCGCCTTTCCTGAAGACAAAGGACGTTCTTTTCCAGAACAGCTCGGCTCCTCCTGCCTTGGGAACACAGGATCCACTTTGCCTGAGGACACAGGATCCCCGGCCTCTTCCTTCCCTGGGGACGCTGCAGCCGCCTGGCTGGAGCACCCAGGGTCAACTTTTCCCAGGCGGCCGCCATCTTCCTCTCTTGGGGTCACGAGATTCCCCTGCCCCATGACTGCAGGCTCTGGCTTTCCTGTGACCATGGAATCTGCCTTCCTGGAGGATCCAGCATCTTCCTTTCCCACAGAAGCAGAAGCTGCCTGCTTTGAGAACTTGGAATCCATCTTCTCATTTCTGTTCCCTGAGGACCCGGGCTCAGGCTCCCTGGAAAACGTGGAGTCTGCTGTCCCTGAGATGCGGGTCTCCTTGCCGGCTGCCTCTTGGGGAGGACTACAGGTCTGGGAGGGGTGGGCCAGGCTCCCGCCAGGGCCCTCAGAACAGGAGACCTTTTCGCTGGCCCCCTGGGGACTGCTATGCCTAGGGTCCATGCCTGCGCTGTGGTCAGGGCTATGCCTGGGGGGTGCAGGGCTGGCCTTTTGCAGGGAGGGGCAGCATTCTTTCATGGCCAGCCCCCCAGTCCCCCGGCCCCCATCCTGGGGGCGGCAGAGGACTGTGGGGTGGGAGTCGTTCGGAAGCAGCTGGAGCCAGGCTTGGTCTTCAGCAGTGCCCATCTGCCTTCGTGGCCATGCTGGAGCCCACGGCTACTGTGTGGTTCTGAAGCAGAGAGAGAGAGAGAGAGAGAGAGAGAGAGAGAGAGAGAGAGAGGGAGAGAGCAGATTCAGACATTGTAGGGGGATCCATGGAGGAGGCGCCTCCATCCTGGCCTCTTGCTCACCTTCCTGTTAGCAGCCAGGCCTCCTAGTGGGGTCCTCTGCTTCTGTGTGGTCTCCTCCTGGCCAGGGGGCATGGGCTAAAAACATAAGCCCAGGCATTTCACTCCCTGGCTTCACTGAGCTCAAGGGGCCCACTGGACAAAGACTTCTTGGAATGGCATTCAACGTGGCCATACCCCAACTTTTCTGTTTCACCTTCTGTCACCACTCCTTTGTCAGTCCCACCCAATGCAATAGGCTCCCCCAGAAGCCATGCACTCATGCTATAGGCCACAGGCTGCAAGCTTTGATGCCTAAGGGGCCAGGGAGGTAATGAGTGCAGGAAGTGAACTGGGCATAACACAAGAAGGAGCAGCGCGGACTACAGCACCACGGAGAGCGCATGCCCTCTCTAGGGGGAAGTCACTGCAAAAGCAGGTGCTACCCTGGAGCTGCACCACCTGGGGGCACTCTCCCCAGGTCCTGAGAGACGTGGGGAATCCAGGCTTTGATGTGAATTAATCCAATTTTTTTTTTCTTAAAGCCCAAGGTGCTATGTGGGCCAAACAAGACGTGTCCATAGGCCACCAGCTTGTGTCTGTGCAGGCCAGGGAGCTCTGAACAACTGACAATCAAGGAAGGGCCACAGTTAGATGTGCGGGCTTCCAAAGATCCCTCTGGGCTGACAGGAGAGGGACTGGCCAGGCTGCTCAGTCCTTCCTTGCCGCTTCCATTCACTGAATCCTGCATTCATTCCTGGTCCCTTCTCAGCACCAGGCTCTGAGCAGGTGCCATGGTCCAGGTCTAGGCGAGAGGTGGTGCAGCACGGGCCAGGGAGTGGACGCTAAAGGCGGAACTGCAAGCTCCAGTGGAAATTGCATGTGGCTGACCACAGGGTGGCCCCTCGGGTGCTGGCTTAGGGTGTGTGGGGGGTGCTGGGCGACAGCGCTCGGCAGACCTGGGGAAGGGGGTTCTGTCTGTGGTGCTGGAAGACACCAGGAAGAGGGTCAGCCAGGTCTACCAGCAACTCCAGCCCATTATGGGTTCAGCGGCCCAAGCAAGTGGAGCTCCTGCATCCTTCCAGCCTGTTCCAGAACCATCTCTCTAGTGCGCAGGCCCAAATCCCTCAAAAGTCACCCTTGACTTTCTCACACTTCATGTGCCAACCACCGGCAAAACACGTGGATCCACCTTAGGTAATGCCTCTGCCTGCAGCACCAGCATCCAACACAGATGCTGGTTCAAGTCCCGGCTGCTCTACTTTTGATCCAGCTCCCCGCTAATGTGCCTGGGAAAAGCAGCAGAAGATGGACCAAGTGCTTGGGCCCCTGCACCCACATGGGAGACCTAGAAGGAGTTCCAGGCTCCTGGCTTCAGCTTGGCCCAACCCAGGCCATTGCAGCCATCTGGGGAGCACATGCTCTCTCTTTCTCTCTCTATTTCTGCCTTTCAAATAAATAAATAAATCTTTAAAAAAATTCATCAGCACTTGGCTCCTGGCCTGGGCTAATGGCCACTGTCTCTCCCTAAGAATCATCCTTGGCTTACATACAGTTTATTCTCTCTTTTTTTTTTCATTTTCAATTCTCTTTTTATACAGAAGATCAATTTAGTATATATTAAGTAAAGATTTCAACAGTTTGCACCCACACAGAAACACAAAGTGTAAAGTACTGTTTGAGTACTAGTTATAGCATTAATTCACATTGTACAACACATTAAGGACAGAGATCCTACATGGGGAGTAAGTACAGTGACTCCTGTTGTTGACTTAACAATTTGACACTCTGGTTTATGGCATCAGTAATCACCCTAGGCTCTAGTCATGAGTTGCCAAGGCTATGGAAGCCTTTTGAGTTCGCCAACTCTGATCTTATTCTTATTTAGATAAGGTCATAGTCAAAGTGGAGGTTCTCTCCTCCCTTCAGAGAAAGGTACCTCTTTCTTTGATGGCCTGTTCTTTCCACTGGGATCTCACTTGCAGAGATCTTTCATTTAGTTTTTTTTTTTTTCCAGAGTATCTTGGCTTTCCATGCCTAAAATACTCTCATAGGCTCTTCAGCCAGATCAGAATGCCTTAAGGGCTGACTCTGAGGCCAGAGTGCTGTTTAGGACATCTGCCATTCTATGAGTCTGCTGTGTATCCCACTTCCTATGTTGGATCGTTCTCTCCCTTTTTAATTCTATCAGTTAGTATTAGCAGACACTAGTCTTGTTTATGTGATCCCTTTGACTCTTAGACCTATCAGTGTGATCAATTGTGAACTGAAATTGATCACTTGGACTAGTGAGATGGCAGTGGTACATGCCACCTTGATGGGATTGAATTGGAATCCCCTGGCAAGTTTCTAACTCTACTGTTTGGGGCAAGTCCAATTGAGCATGTCCCAAAACATACAGTTTATTCTCAACACAGCAGCTGGGGCGGGGGGTGGTTCTCAGCAAAACCCAAGGCAGCCCATCCCCCTCCTCTGCTCACAGCCAGGGGCATCTCCCCATCCCATGCAACATCAAAGCAAGCTCCTTAGAACACTCACAGGACCCTGTGTGTCTAGCCCTATCACCTCTTCTGGCTTTTTCTCCTGCTCCTTTCTCCATTATGTCGTTTCTGTCGCACTGATCTTGAACACCTCCTGCCTCAGGGCCTTTGCACTGCCTACTGCCTCTGCCCCTGGTGTGCTTTCCCTCCAGGTCTCTGCATGGTCCTCCCCTTGAGGCTTTCCCTTACCCAGCCTGTATAAAACAGCCCCCTCCCCCACTCTCTCCAGTACCCCTCACTCGCTGTGTCTGTTCAGCTTTTCTCTGCTGTACCTGTCACCCTCCGACATATCACACATATTAGGTTTTGCTTATAGCTTATCTCTCATTAGAATGCCACGGAATCTGTTTGGAAGGACACATTGATTTTTTACCAAAGTTTACACTGCACAAAGCTTGCAGCCAGCACACCCATCTCCAGGGATGGCCCTAAAGGCAGAAGGATGGTGCCCAGGGTACCTGAGAGCATGGCTGGGGACGAGAAGGGGCCAGCTGGAAGCAGCTTCTGTGAAATGTGGGACAACCCCACCATGGACACCACATGGCCACTCAAATGTGTGGAGTGTTGAGGAAAGAGGCTCAAGATAGATTAAGTGCAAAAAGCTTGGGTACAGCATGGTAACTGGGACCTGAGGCACACAGCCTTGGAAGAGGCCAGACACACTTGAGGGTTTATTTCCAATATTTCTCCTGCATGGAATCCATGAAACCGAGCAGTGCCCGCCTCTTGGAAGTAGGACTGGGGATCAGAGGGTACTGAGACTTTT